TTAAAATATCTGTTGTGATTTCAAAATGGCAGTTTTTTTTTACTTTTATAATTATCAGTGAAAACGTTCAGATGTTTTAAAAAAATGTCACAAGTTCAAATTCATATTTTTTAGGTTGTTGCACCACTAATTGTAAAATAAGGTCGCCTTGTAGAATTGACAAGTGATATAAGTATAATATATGATTCCCAGTTGGGATTGGCAAGGGTTTCTTGCTGTTGTTGCTGAAAGGTGCTTGTTAATCAAATTTCAATGTCTCTCGTGAAAAACCTTTTCCGACTTGTGATGTTATTTTTCAGGAACAGCAATTTGTCTTGTCCCCCAAATACAAAAATTGATCAAAAATATAAATGTTATATCTCTATACAAAATTAACATGATACTATTTTATGACATGTGATTATTCTTTGCTTAATTCATGAAATCCTGAAGTGGTGAGTAAGTTTAAAACTTCAGTTACATTCAAATTTATATTGTTGTATTTACTGCCGTAGTCTTTCAGTTCGTTTTCAACAATAGCTTTAAAATGTAAGAAGTCTATTTCCGTGTAGCCATTCTAAACACGTCGAAAACACGTTCTGATGTTCATTTACACGAAACTCTTTTCATATTCGTGATGCGTCGAAGCATAATAGGAATGTATCTAAAATACTTTTGTACATCTATAATCTTCATGAAAATAATAATAGTGAAAATCATTAATTAAAACCTAAGTAGTTATCACAACAATTTCAACAGAATCAAAGGAAATTTTAGAAATGATCGTAATACAAATGATCCAATGTTGGCTTCTCGACGTAGTATGTATGGCTAATACGAAAAAGAATGTCTGAATAGATTCAATGATTCCTAAATTCGTACTAAGAAACTAATATTTGTCACACAGAATTGTCACAAGTTTATGTTCTTTTAAAAAGTACATGATACATATCTAATACTGTGACTCTAATGTAACAAGTGTGTAAAGAAGTTTGTATGAGTAATGATTATAATGTAACAAAAAACGTTACGGTCAATTGTCACTTATAATTCTCAAAGGCTTATTAAATTTTAATATTTACGAATGTTTGAAATTATTTAGAGTAGTAGGGTTATGCAGCGATGCACTCGTCTCCAGTGCTAATTACGCCCTTTCTGTATTTCCTGAGCTGGCGAAATGTGCTTTCAAGGACCCCAGTTGTATTGCGTAGAGCTATGTAGACTAGAATAGTGCTGTAAAGTAGTATATACATCGTACGATGTTCACGTAGTAGATAGCGCCTTAGCGCATTATAGAGGGCTGTGTTGGCGTAGTTAGGAGGACCGAGGCATTCGCGCATTGTCTGCTTGAGCGTCTCACTTGAAACACACGCGACAAGTCGTCTGAATCTGTCTCTGAATCGCAGACTCGGACACACTCATGCTGCACAGCGTGTGTTTGAGTTGAGGCCGTAGGAGGCCTGTGTTCATTTTGGCGGCACCAGTAGTAGCCGTAGAATTCCCTCCTCAGGTCCTCACTCCTCTCTGTGAACTTTGGTGTGACGCGTGGGCTGTGACTTTGTCCCGTGTGTTTTCTCCCTGAATGCTGTGTATGTTTGTGCTGAAGCTTTTTCTCATAATCCGAGAACTTTGTTTTCTAAATAATGTTTTGTTTTGTGTGCATGGTTGAGCGTAGTTCTTGAGATGAAGTAGGCAACAATTTCAAAATTGCAGTATTCGTCATAAAAATATTAGTACATTTTCATTTATTTTTCTCGCAAATTTTGACGTTTCTGTGTAAGCAGAGACACTTTTTAAACAATTAATGTTTTAATTATCTATAATTTGTATTGTTTCGACTGAATATTGATTATTCTAAAGTAAATGAGCATTTCCGATTGTATAATTGCATGGATATACTATACACAAGTCAAACAATGAAACAACTGGATCAGGAACTGTGGGAACTGATCCTGTGCAACGTATTTTCTAATTCCATTGAATGAATGGGGCCATTTAAAACGCAATCGTTGCTTTCATTTCCTATTAGTCTTTGGAAAACGGAACGCTCTCGGTGATTGATTTCAGAGATAATTCATTCGCACATCGTCTGTCACTATCAGTTACGAACTGTGATTTATCACCTCGTATCAAAAAATACTTTTTATATTCGACTCTGCCAAAATAGTACAAATTTACGTGAAGTAAAATCAATATTTTTGTTACTCTGTGCACAACTTACAATTTCGCTACGCATTCCATTTTTTAAACTTATAGTTGATTCTGAAAACGCATATTGTATGATGAAATGCTCAGGAAAGACGCAATTTTGAAACCTCTGCATGCAATCTGTTCTTCAGTTTCACGTCTTCCACCACTGTGTTCAAATGATTTCACTTACAGCTTGCAGGTTGTGTGCTGTGCAGATCTAGTGATATGCTTATTGTAGTTTTTGTTGTTTCTAGCTGCGTGATATTGGGTGTTTTTGACTGTGGTATTGCGTGACTATTGAGTGTAAAGTCTATTATTTGCAGTTATAATTTTTCCTTATACCTTCACTTTCCATTCTTCTCTTTATATCCTTCAAATGTTCTTCCTTCCCTCTTCCAAACTTTCTCCGCTTCTGAAGAGTCGAAGTTTGCACCTCTGACCTTCCTTCGCAACTTGAGATCGGAAGACTTTATGAGATCAGTTAAATCCATTACTAGCTTCAATGGCAGTCTTCTTGCCGCTGCGAAGTTATACACTTCGTGACTTGGTCCATTTGTTTTAAAGTGTACGAAGATGCGTTTTAAGACTCTTAGGATTTTTCAAACTCACTTATAATTCAGCTCCTGTAAAACTCGATAAATACTTTTTGAAAGCCTTACTGTATTATAAAAACCTGTAATTCTTCCAGCACGTCTTTCAATTTTTTAAAAAATAAATCCCCACAGATCTATTTGACATTTAAAAACTAAATCTTTACTCATTTTGAAATTTTGTCAGAAAATATTTAAACCAGATAAATTGATTTTATAGTGATAATGAAGAGCTCCATATTTTATCAGTGATTCTTTACGAAATCAATTGCCATTTTGAGATATGCGTTTTGATTAAAATTACTAAAGTAACTTTTTTATTAATTTGTATATTTTAGATTTTGTTCAGTTTTTATTAATGTGTCATGATTTGTTTATCTGAATGCATATTTCTTTCTTGAACCAAAAAAATAACGACAATACAATCTTTTGTCTAAACCTTCAAGAATGTTTAGTTGATCGTAAAGCACGTTATTGTGTCACTGTAGTTGCATTTTCCATTCGCTTCTTCACATTATTCAAACCAACTATCACTGCTCTGGTTTAGAAACCTCTGCAACTCCCTCCTCTTTGCTTGTGGAAACTGTCGAGAATAGAAAAGAAAACGTACAGTAATATTTGGTGTCTTTAAGAATGCATGTTCCTGAAACCATTTCTAAATAATTATCATTGATTGTAAACTTAATAGGCACAAGCTTCTAATTTTCATTTAAGGCATAGAAGTATTCTCGACAGTTTCGGAAAAATCGTGTTTGCTCTATCAAATCTTTTTGCTTCCGCTCAGCGTATTGCCAACAGACAATAGTAGCATCCTCAGATCCAAGGTTTCCTTCTACTCTATCTTTTATTAATTTATTTCGTTTCACTTATGTTAATTTTTGTTTTTCTACGTACCCAAGTCATTATACTAATATTCTACCTATTTTACTTTTCAATATATTTCTTTTTTATCTCTATTATCCATTAGTAGAATTCCATTCCTCTTTTACATTTTCCACCATCATTATTTTTCACACTTCTTCCTAAAGAATTCTACTTTTCCACTCTCCAGTTCTATCCCTCGAATAACCTACAAGCCTTACAACTTTTCTAATTTTTCTATATTTCCAATCCTGTGTCCAAATCAATTTCGCGCTCAAATTACAACGAATCATTCATTCACACTCAAACTATTTCGTTTATTTTTCACACCTCAACCCAAAAGTTGGAGACGTTCAATGTTTCTACTTTCCTTCAAGCATAAAATCACATTCCTCTATTCCGGCTATTCGACCTACATCTCAGTCTGTAATTTAACAGAAATCCTTTACTCCCGTCTCTTTCCTTGCAGTTCAGTCGCTCTCTTCCCCTCTGACCCATAAGCTCACTCACTGTCAGCCTCCTCGGCGCCCACGCCCCGCCCCGCACCGCGCCTACCGTCCACCCTCTCCATCCCCACACACCGCCCCCGCACCCATTCCGCATCGCCCGCTCCCAACACATGTCACTTCCCATGCCTCGCCGCTAGGACCCCGGTTACGACCCCTGCTACGCCCTCTGCCCAGCCTCCTGCCCAGCCTCCTGCCCAACCTCCTGCCCAACCTCCTGCCCAGCCTCCTGCCCAGCCACCTGCCCAGCCTCCTGCCCAGCCTCCTGCCCAGCCTCCTGCCCAGCCTCCTGCCCAGCCTCCTGCCCA